ACAGGAAAATTTTCCATTTCACGTGCTATAAGAGATTAAAAGCAATGAGAGATTCTAGGTTAAAATTGTAGTTGAATATGTGCATATAATTTCACTCTCTCTGAAACTTTCTAAAGTGATTAAAGAAAACAGAATTAAAAAGAAGTGAACCATAAAGTTAGGAAGGCAAGGAGGATAGAGGAGTATATTATACATCAACAAGATATTGGAAGCTGGAAAACAGAAGGTTTGCTGGTAACAGAATTAACAGAACCCATAATGCTAAATTCTATGCAGGAAATGAGGAAAGTTGAGAAACAGAAATATTTTATAGTGCAGAATTTTTAAGAGGCTCATAAAATGGTAACCACAGAAATAGAGATGAGGGAGATGGCAATAATGATAACGTTTGGCTGAACTGAATGACAATACACTAAAGATGCGTGATCCTTTTACGTGTACGTGTATTAATATTAAAGTCTGGTGCCTCTCTGTAGTCAAGATTCTGGCAAGGCCATACTGATCTCTGTAAAAAATCAGTCCTGATAATAGGAAGCCTTGTACCTCTGGAAAGCCACGCAAAGAGTTAGTACTGGAGTCATCTTGTGAGAAAACCTAGATATTTGAGGAAAAGGGTATGAGGAAGATTTATTTTTATTGGCTTGACTTTTTGTTCCTTTTACATGTTTTTTTCCATGAGCATTTATATTTCATGAATCAAAAATCATAAAAGGCAACTTCCCAAAAGATTTGTTCTTTTAAATAATATTTTCACTACTTTTTCCAAGAGGTAAGGCAAAACTTGGTATACTTTGGTCTGGATTCCCTGTTGAAAGGAGTTATTGAATGAACAATGGGTTTGATTTTACAATGCTGAAATCAGAAGTTGTCAGAAGCCCACTAATGTGTTCCTGCTTCTCCTACCATCCCTAACACACGTAGTCCATCGCTACACTCTGTGTGTTCCAAACGGTTCAATGAGGGAGAAGGGAAGTTCTTTGTGAGCAAAGTCCCAAAAGAAACTCATCCACTCTGTCCCCAGTTGAGTATCATATCTCTCATCTCCCACAACCAGCCTCACACCTGAATATTACAAGGCAAATATGACATTAGTCAAATAAGTGTATATGTATATATATGTCTCATAAATGCTTCTTTATAAAGGAACATCGCAGTATGCTTTAAGAGCAAGCATACTGGCCCCTGATAAGTCAGTAGAGTCAGAGAGGGTTTCTCTGAACACATGACCTTAGAACTGATATTTTAAGAGTGAGTTACAATTATATAATGGAGAGTTAGAGAAGGCAGAATCATTTCTAACAGAGCAAACAACATGTGTAAACTGTTTATGGCAGACGACAACATGGAAGTTCTGGGGATGTCAAAGAAGGCCTATATGCTTGGAGTGGGCAGAACAAGGAAAGAAATGATTACATTACATTGGGCAGGAAGCCAGGAGCTATAGGCAAAACATGTAGGTAACAAGAAGAGTTTTCTCTATATCTTGAAAGCGGTAGAAGCCACTGAAGATTTTGAACAGAAGAACTACTTGCTTTGAGTAATCTTTTTAAAAGGTCACCTGCCAAAAGTGAGAATGGGTTACAAAAGGACAGGTGTGGAGAGTGGGTACCATTTAAGAGAGTGCTGTAGTAGATCAGGTAAGATATCATGATAATGTGGATTAATTGGAAAAGAGGGTAACATTGAAGACTTCTAAGATTCAAGGATTCAGGTTTGGAAACTGGAAGTATAATGGTGAAATTTCCAAGATAGGGACTATGGGAGAATATTTGTTGAGCAAATACATTACGTGTGTTGGGGAATGCTGAGTAGATAAAAAAAATCACAGACTGTGACTTCACAGTATTAAAAACAAAAAATAACATGAGAAATGATTACGTTACGGATTTTATTACAATCCAAGGAACCAAGACACCATTTTGCAAGGAGTCAAGAAAGGCCTGTGTACAGAATGATATTTAAACCAAGCCCCGAAGGACTAGGAACAGGCAGCCCTATGAAATGTTCAGGAAAGTGTGTTCCAGGCAGAGGCATGAACAGCATATAAAAAATCTCGAATAGAAATGACGACATGAACGTGAAAGAAGTTTATAATCTTACACACCAGAGAAGGAAAAGAAAAGCCATGCGAGATGAGAACAAAAGGAGATGATATAAAATCTGGATGGAGATTTTAGGAACAAAGATACTACAAAATTGTTTAAAGTGAGATATATATTTGGAAACAAAATGAATATCCATTAATAGAAAAATGTTTAAACTATGACCTTACAGTGAGTGAATATATATTATGGATAGAGCTAGTAAACTGGGTATTGTGCAGCCATAAAACATGTAATTGTATATGCAGAATGAAAGTATCTACGCTTTCATGTAAATACAAAATATTATTATTGCAATTAGTAAATCTGCATGGTGAGTGTTACCTCTTCATTATAATTTTACGTATTTTAAAATTTTTCCACCGTATATCTATATTGTATTTACTAGTAGTTGAAGCAAATACCAGAAAGAATGCTTGAAAGTTCCTAACAGGTTTTAGGAGACTTTCCAATATGATAACAGAAATCAAAATATTTTGATTTGTCTCATAAGTAACTTAATTTACTGTTATGGGTTGAATTCTATTCCCTAAGAAGTTTTGTTGAAGTCCTAACCCCTGAAACCTCAGAATGTGGCTTTATTTGAAAATAGGGTTATTGCAGATGTAATTACTTAAGATGAGGTCATGCAGGAGTGGGATGAGCCCTTAGCCCAATACGACTGGTGTTATAAGAAGAGAAGACAGACGTGCACAGAAGGAAGGCAGTATGAACACAGACACGGGAGGGGAAAACATCATGTGATGATCGAGGTGGACATTGGAGTGATGCAGCTGTGAGATACGGAATGGCAAGGACTGACAATCACCACCAGAAGCTAAGGAAAAAGAGAAAGATTTTGACTAAAGTCTCAGAGGGAGCGTGACTCTGCTGACACATTGATTTTGTACCTTTAGCTTCAAGAACTATAAGAGAATACATTTCCGTTGTTTTAAGCCAAATCCCATTTGTGTTATGACTGCCTTAGGAAACCAATGCGTACAGTTTTCTAGAAGATTGCTTAGATTACCTAGTTCGTTAAGCAACAAAATCCCCTAAATCAGGAGTTGCTCTTTTGTTTAAGTAGTCCATTGGATTTGTGTCCAGATTTTAATTGAGCCAGAAAGCAAGGTGTTCTTTCATACATGTACGTTTGAGTCCATGTATGTTTTTGTGTGTTTGCATGTCTGCATGTGACTGTCTGTGCAGATATGGAGCAGAAGTAGGGGTCAGAAACAGAGAGACGTGTGTCTTTTTCTGTTTTTCTGTTGGCACTCCATTAAAGTTTTTACAGTTTCTATTTATGTGGAAAGGGTAGGTTAGCACATTTCAGATATTTTTAAATCAAACTGACAATGCTGGGATGAGGACCATACTCTACATATCTGATTTATAGTCACCAAAAGCCCAGCTTTATAGTTCTTTGAAACATGGACTGGTTTCAAGATTTACTGATCAAAACATAAAGAAATGCAATCATATTCAAGATGAGAACTGTCTCTGTGACAAATCAAATAGTCCCTGTTTTATAGAGATTCAAAGACTTCCCACAAACTCAGATTATTTCCCTTACAAGTTTGAAGACAACTGAGCCAAGGAAAATGAATGCTTCCAGGCTTCGGTGCTTTACTACAATTAAATTTTTGCTGACAGTAGAGTGTGATCACTTTCTTTCCTCTTTAATAAACACCAAGTGGAGCAAACAGAATTACTTCCCTAGACCACTTTGGTGAAATGATGATAATGGATCCAATTCTTTGATCAGGGTACTGTAATAAAATAGAGCTAATTTTTTATCTTTCCATATATACTTCTTACTTCTCCCTCCATCCCTCCCTCTCCTTTGTTCTAATTTCTTCTCTTCCTTTCTCTCTCTCCTTGTTCCTCTGTGTGTGTGTGTGTGTGTCTCTCTCTCTCTCTCTCTCACTCCCTCTCTCTCTTTGTATGCCTTCTCTTCTCTCTCTCCTACTCTACTATTGTTACTTTAACCTTTCTAATGTATCCTTGGTAACATTTTAATATGTGATATGATATTGGTCCTCAAAATATTGTGCAGTCCTCTATAACTAAATGAGAAAAGGTCACCAAGCATCTTTTCTGTTATCTTAGAAATATATTCATCAACTTAATGTCAGTTAAACTGTGGATGCACTTGGTGACAATACATTTGAAGATCTCTTACTGAAATGATTTTATTGCTTTAAAATATAAATGTTATACACCAAAAGTGCATTCAGAAAGCCTTATAAGTGGCAGAATTTGTATGTTTCTGTTGCTTCCTAAAAATGGATGTCTGATTTTTATACTGACAGTGCGCTGATACACACAATTACTGTTTTAAATAACTGGATGACAGATTTAGAGCCTAATGAAATCATTTCCAGTTTTGAAAAAATATTCCTGTACTAATGTTGTGCTGAGGAAGATATATTGAGTTTTCATATATGTAGCAGCAATAGGAAATCCTCTTACTCTCTTGGAGTTTAGTGACCCCAGCAGACAACTAAACAGAACAGTACAAAAATTCATGTGCAAGATCTCAAAGCTGCAAACAAAAATACCAGATTTCCCAAGATTCATCTGAGGCAGCCACAACCATCTTAAAAAGCAGTTCGGGAAGGGAGAAGGGCTTATTTTGTGAGGGAGTGTGTCAAGCAGCGTGATTGCTGACAAAGAGATAAAAACATGTTGTCTTTTTGGAGCTTCCTGAACCTGAGAATCCAAAGACTCATCTAGAACTGCTAGGATGTAGAAGAGAAGACACAAAAGATGGCAGAAGGGCACAGCAGGTAGATAGACGGCAAATATCAAGATGATCCGGCACCCCACTACCATCGCCACTACCAAGATTCTGAAGTTCCCACGGTGAAATGAAGGCAGGCTTTATGGGGTCCCAGGATTCCATTCGCCCAGGTCACTGAAAGAGACACAGGCAAGAATCTGCCCACCACCCCAACGAAGTTCGTAGCTTACCAAATTCCAGATTCAGGGGGCATAGAGTTTGCTTATTACTCACCTCCACCTGGATATTGAGACCAGTGTGTCTCCGTGGAACTGAGTGCCGCTGACTGGTCTCAGTGGGTACTACACCCTGAGCTGGTGGGTTTTGCCAGCAGTGGACAAGAGCACAGAAGACATTACTTCATCTTGTTACACACACTCCCCTCTCTGCAGTCAGTGACTGGTAAATACTTTGAAGATGTAGCAAAATTTACCAGATGAAAGACGGAAAAGATCTTCTAAGGAAAGAAGCCCTCGAGAATGAGACTGAATTTTTCCTCACCACTCTGAAATTAGATATGACCATGTGACTATTCTGGCTGACAAAATGGGAATATAGATGGTCTGTGACATTTTAAAACCAAATCATGACACTTCTGGTGTTTGGCTCTCAAGCTGCCTCTTGCCCTGCCATGGTGGCTGAAGAGATTTTGGTATCTAAATGATGCAGTTACATGATCATGGAGACTTAGTCATCGTGAGTCCTGAATTACTGTGGAGAGCTGATAGTCTTTGCCAACATGCAGTGAATATGTAGCACGAGTGAGGTGTATGTATGTGTGTGTGTGGCGTGTGAGTGTTTGGTCTTAGCTTAGCATTATTTTATTTATTTATTTATTTATTTTTGAGGGAGACTAGCCCTGAGCTAAGTATTGCCAGTCCTCCTCTTTTTGCTGAGGAAGCCTGGCCCTGAGCTAACATTCGTACCCATCTTCCTCTACTTTTTACGTGGGACGCCTACCACAGGATGGCGTGCCAAGCAGTGCCATGTCCGTACCCAGGATTGGAACTGGTGACCCCCGGGTCACTGAGAAGCGGAACGTGCAAACTTAACCTCTGCGCCACCAGGCCGGCCCCCTAGCTTAGCATTATTATACACTATCCAAGTTCTCAAACCAATGGGGAATATGGCAAAGAAGTGTGAGATGGAGGTCAAAAGATTAAATTGATTGCTGATAAAGGTTACACTGCAGGCCCCCCAAAAATGTATAGCAGGCGTTTTAACTCAATCCCCAAACTAGGTGGATTAACTACCAGTCACAGACACTGCTGGCCTTAAGCAGGCTGCCCCATCAGATCAGCATTGATGGGGAAAGGCAGCCACAGCATGCTGAGGCTTTCCTTCCACTACCAACCGTTGTTCCTTTCAGTTGTTTTTGGGATTCCTGGTGGGAAATAAAGATTTAGACTTCAGAAAGCTCTGAAATGGATTGCAACAGTACATTAATTGCATTAACTCCAAAGTCACTCTATAACTAAGTCTGAGAATTTACTCTTTATTAAACTTCTCTCCCCTAATTATGTCCAAAATAGCATACCAATAACTTGTAAAGAGATTAACTGACAACATTATGATACTCCAATGAATAGACACTCAAATAATAATATATCATTGCCAACATTTTAAATATTAACCACCTATCATTTTCAAATTCTCAGGATAATTAAAATTTGCAGATTAAATATCCTTGTAAATTTATGTTCAGATTCATTAAGTCCAAAGAAATTAATATATGAAATATTAGTTTTCTTCCCAGTGACTTCATGTACCCAGTGATCAAAACTTGTTACATTAAAGATCAACAGCCATGATTTTCTTTCCTCATTCACTCTATTTTCTTAATCTGGTAGTTCTCAACCTAAAGGTTTCCAAAATCTGGGAGGAGATGAAGTTATATAAGAAGATTCAGCCTAATTCTTACAGGAATGGGAGTAATTAACTTCAGGGAATGAGAAGTTCTATTTATGTACCATGTGTCTGAAATCCTCCATTTTTAGAATTCAAGAGTTAATAAAACATTTGTTTTAGTTTTTCTGCTGCATAAAATGCCACTCCCAGACTTAGAAGCTTAAAACAGCAATTATTTACTTAATTCACAATTTCATCTGTTAGCAATTTGTTCTGGAATTAGATTTATGGTTCTCCTGGGCCTGCTTGACTGACCTTGGCTAGTTTGTCTGATTGGACAAAGCAGATCACATGCTGAAGGCCAGAGTCAATGTGAGAAAGAACATAGACTCCACTGCTTGATGTGAATTGCTATGAAGTTTCATATCTGCTTTTGCAATCTACTGCAACATAGAAGATTATCAAAGCACAGTCAACAAATTTAGAAAACATGCTAATCTCTAGTCTCTCAAATGGTTTCCCAGTCAAATATTGTTCCCCAAACAGAGAATTAGATTTGCCAAAAAGCATAGCAAAGCTTGTTTAAATTAGAGTGAGGTAGAGAGAAGAAAATGTCAGTATGTTCGCCTCCCAACAATGTCAGTTAGTTGATGCCTTCAGTCCAGATCTGCACTGTGCAAAATGGTAGCCACTAGCCACACGTGGCTATTTACATTTGAATTTGAATTATATAAATTAGGTTAAATTTAATTAGATTAAAAATTCACTTCCTCAGTTACAGTAGTCACATTTCTAACGTTCACTAGCCACACAAGCTAGTGGCTACCATATTGGACAATACAGAATAGAACAATTCTATTACTGCAGAAAGTTCCATTGGACAGAACTGGTCCAGACACTGTGACTTGTGAACATATAATCAAATAAAAACAATGTTTTTCAATTCAAAGGGTTTTCTTAATGCCACACTTAATTTCGTGTTTTTTTTTTTTTACTCTGAAGAAACACAATCCACTCAGAGACTATAAAAATAGATGCACTAAAAACTAAGCTCTTCCCTGTCACAAGTGACTCATTGGCCAGCATTAGCCACGTGGCCATGGCTGACTTGCGGCAGATCAGATGTGCAGCACTATTATGTGCCTGGGTAGAGGGAAGCAGAAAAACTTGTGAGCAATCTACCACATCTGATAAAGTCTTGCCCATTTCCTGTTAAGTTTATTCCCAAGTATTTTACCATTTTGTTGCTAATATATATGTGATCTTTTCTTTTATTATGTATTTAATTATTTTTATTTAGGTGGACTGTTGAGTTGTGTGTGTTAATTTCATATTGTGCTATTGTTTTTCACGCTTTTTCCATTGATATATTAGGTTCTCCAGGTATACTGCTGTCACCCGCAAATAGGGGTAACTTTACCTTCACTTCCAATTTTTATGTCCAATTGCATTCTCTTGTTAATTACTCCCTTCAGTACTATTATAGCCCCAATCAGAAGTGTGCTTGTAATACAGAGGCCATGGGAAAATTCCCAGTGGGCAAAAGATCAAGCAGTACAATTGTTTGTCTACATCGCTTAGGATAAGATATGGCCAGCAGTTTGGATGTACTCTAATTGATGGGCAGCAGCCAATGATTTTGCTGGATGGCCAAAGGCCCAAAAGGAACAAGATTGCCATATATGACAAAAACCTCTTGGGAAGAATTATCTGGATGAACTTCTCAAAATAAGCAAAGATGTTGACAGTATTTATTTCCTATGTCAATGCTCATCGAAAGACCTTTACTGTAGAAGAGCATTGGGTAGCCAGTATGACTTTCCCTGTGGATGTCTATCAATCTTCTTCCCCAGATACACTGTACTTATTTAATGGCCCATATACCAAGTAAACATGGGGTAGGGATAGATGCTATGCTTAAACTCAAGAGTATGAATTAGCCCTACAACTGGTCTGGCCTTCAACACTGTTAAGTGGCTCCCTTCCAATAGCAGAAGTGAATACTGAGTCCCTTATATTATTCTCTTGGGGGAAGCAGCCATCCATCTGGTGTCAGGTTGATTACATTGGAATCTTTCCACTATGGAGAGAAGACAATTTAACTTCACTGGAATAGACAAGTATTCAGTGATTGGATTTGATTTTCTTCCCCAAAGTGTTGCTGGCAGCATCACCATCTGTGAACTTTATGGAGTGCCTTACTCACTCTATTACTATCCGACAAAACATTGCTTTTAAAAAAGGAATGCATTTCACACTGAGAGAAAGCCAGCATTGGGCTTATACCTTATGCACTCAACTTTCCTGATGGAACAATGTAATGGCCTGGTGAAAATAAGTTGTAGTGTACAGGGACAACAAAGAAATGTTGGAGTCATATCCAACAGGAGCTGGTATATGTTTTGAACCTATAGCCATGTGTGTTGCTCTCCCTTATAGCAGAATATGCAGGTCTGGAAAGCAAGGGGTAGAAGTAAGAAATACTCCTTTTGAATTTTATTTACTTTTATCAACTTGATTGGAGTATAATTTCTGTGCAATGAACTGTGTCCTTTTCTACCACGATGAGTTTCAACCTATATGTAGACTTATATATCGACTGCTACAATCAAGACAGAAAATTTCCACAAACTTTAAAAGGTTCATTATACCCCTTTGCAGTCATGCCTCAATATGTTCTGGCCTAAGGCAAACTGATTTGTTTCTGTAACTATGGTACACTTTGAAATTTCTCGAACTTTATATTAATGGAAAAATAGTATATGCTCTTTTTTCACTCAGCATAACACTTTTTAGTTTAATAGATATTGCTGTATTTATTAATACCTTTATCCCTTTTTAATTTCTGATTAACATTCTATGCATGGCAGATAAACAGTAATTTGTTATCCATTCTCCTACTGGTGGGCATTTGATTTAGATACAATTTAGGGCTATAGTAAATAAAACTTCTATGAATATTCATGTACAATTCTTGTATGGACACATTTTCAATTACTTTGGATGAATTGACTGTACATAAGGTAAATATATGCTTATGTTTTTTAGTAACTGCCAAAAATGTTTTTCAAAATGATTGTATATGAGAGTTACAATTGCACTCTATCCTTATTAACACTTGGTATTGTCAAGTATTGTATTTTTGGTATTTTTTACTTTTACTCATCTAATACACATGCATGGGTACCTCATTTTGATCTTAGCTTGCATTTTTTTGATAACTAGAAAATATTGAACATCTGTTCATGTGACTATTGACCTTTGAATATTTTATTTTGGGAAGTGTTCATTCGTGTATTTTTCAATTTTCCAGTAAAAGTTCTTTATCTTCTTGTCTTTGAGTTGTAAATATTCTTTATAAATTATCAATAAGTCTTTTGTCAGTCATGTGTACTCAAACATTTTCTTTCATTCTGTTACATGAATCATCTATTTACAGAGCAAGATATTTTAAATTTTATAAAGTCCAATTTATATTGCTTTCTTTTATGGTTTATGCTTTTCTGTGTTATAACTAAAAAATACCTTCCCATGTTAAGGTTGAAAATATTTTCCCCTGTTTTATTCTAAAAATTTTATGATTTTAATTCTTACATTTTGGTCTATTATCCATTTTATTTAATTTTTGTGTACCGTATGAGGTAAGAAGCAGAGTTCATTTTACTTTCCATACAAATATCCAGCTATTCCAACATAATTTATTGAAACAGTTTACTCATTTATTAAAATGAGCCTTAACACTTCTGTTGAAAAGCAATTAGCCATATGTATGTGGTCTAACTTTGATATCTTTTTCAGCAGAAGGGGGTTTTGGATTTAATTGACTACTATCACTTAGTAGGACATGTAATATTTCTTTACTTTTTTATAAAAATATTTTAATAAAATTTTTATTTTATTCTATTATTCTATTTGCTTATAATTTTTTGAAGATTTTAGAGGCTATTCAAAAACAGAATTGGCTTTACATTTGTTTTTCTTTTTGTGTAATATTTATTGCAATTTATATCAATGTTATTGTTATTTCATAAAAATAATTTGTAATTTTTTCTCTTTTTTTTGTACTCTGGAAAGATTAAGGAACCTTGGGTTTGGTTATCTGATCTTTGAACATTTAGTGTATTTTCCATGTGAAATGTGAAACCATCCAGGTCCATTCTTTTTATTGCAAGAAAGCACCAATGTTTTCCTATGCTTCTTCTTTGGAAATAGGTTTATTTAGAATTACACTCTGTTGTTGATTTTTTCAAAAAACTAGTTTTTATTTAGTTTGTTCTATATTTTCTGTTATAAATTACTAATTTATGTTTTTATGCACATTACTTCCTGCGTTCTTTTCTTTTTTATTTATTTTCTCGATCTTGAATTTTATTTTAATGTATAATTTTTTCCAGTAATACATGTATTTGATGTTATGGAGTTCCCTCTGAGCAGGGCTTTAATTGAATCCTATAGACACTCAAATGTAATTATTTTATTGTTATTATTTTCTAGAGATTTGATAAATTTTTGCATCTAGACAAGAAATATAATTTATATTATTGATAAGAAACTTTAGTATTTACCTATATTAGCCATTTTCGTGATGACTCTGGGTTTGGTTTTCAGATATCTTCTCTCTGTGGCCACAAGAGACAACACAGGTTCCTTTAGGGTCAAGTATAGAAGATTTCAGGTCTTTAATGCAGAGCTTGAGGTGAGAATTTAAAGCCCTAAGCTCATCCTTTTCTTTCTCCACTTTCTCCAGAGCAGTTAAGAGCAACCAGCCAATCCCTGTATGCTCTTTAGTGAGACTAAAATGTTCTAAGGTATCAAATGCATGGTCACTCAGAACTTTGCCTTCTATATGCATTCAATTTGGAATAACCAGTGGTGACGCTCTGTGTGTTTCTATTGTCACATCACACCTTGGCCCACCAGTGCTGCCTTCACCACCAAGTCATCTCACCATGACTGCCTTGCCATCAAGTCATTAGTGCCTGCAAATCTAACTAGATTGGAGAACCAATTCTAGAAAACCCAGAGCTAATTCAGAAAACTCATCCTTAATATTCTGTTGAGAACCCCTTCCAGTATTAAAATCTGAATCAGTCAGGTTTTGACCAGAGAAACACGAACAGTAGGAGAAACATGTTAAGAGATTTATGATGAGGAATAGACTTACATGGTTGTCGAGGCCAGCTAGGCAAGTCCAAAACTGTTGGATAGGCTGTCAGGAAGGGTAGGCTGGAATGTCGGGGAAGATTCAGGCTGCTATCCACTTACAGGATTTCTTCTTCAGGAAAGCCTCAATTCTGCTCTTAAGGCTCTTCAACATATTGAATTAGGCCGTGCAGGGTATATAAAATAATCTCCTTTATTCAAAATCAACTAATTTTGGACTTTAATCACTTGAACAAAATCCTTTCATAGCAATACCTATAGTAGTGTTTGAGTAACTGGGGACTGTAGCCTAGTTAAGTTGACACACTAAAAATATCCTGTCCATGGGGCCTGCCCGGTGGCGCAGCAGTTAAGTTAGCATGTTCCGCTTCTCGGTGGCCCGGGGTTCAGCGGCCAGGATCCCGGGTGCGGACCTGGCACCGCCTGGCATGCCGTGCTGTGGTAGGCTTCCCACATCTAAAGTAGAGGAAGATGAGCACAATGTTAGCTCAGGGCCAGGCTTCCTCAGCAAAAAGAGGAGGACCGGCAGTAGTTAGCTCAGGGCTAATCTTCCTCAAGAAAAAAATATCCTATCCATGAAATATAGCTTTTTCATTGTGTTGTTTATATTTTCTGTATTATTGAATTTTTACCTTGATTTTTACCTATGTTTAGTTGAGAAAAGTATTTTATTAGGTAACTATTGCTATGTAGCAAATTACAACAAACTTCTGGCTTAAAATAACACAGCTTCATTATCTCACAGTTTCTGTGGGTCAGGGATACAGCTATGGCCTAGCTGGGTTCTCGGCTTCCGGGTCTATCATGAGGCTGAAATCGAGGCATCATCAGTGGTTGAAGTCACAGATGAAAGCTCAGCAGGGTAAGGATCTACTTCCAAGCTCGTTTACATAGTTTCTGGCAGGTTTCAGTTCCTTTGAGGTTCTTGGACTGAGGGCATCAGTTGTCACATGGACTTCCCACCACGGCAACTTGTTTCATGAGAGTTAGAAAGGGAAAGTGTATGTGGCAAGACAGAAGTCAGACTCTTGTAAACTAATCATAGAAGTAACATTCCTCTAAACACTGAGATATTTTATTGGTTAGAAAAGAGTTATTTAAGGAGACAGAATCATTCAAGGCTATGAATACAAGGATGTGGGCATCATTGGGAGTTATCTTAGACACTACTTACTATAGGTATATAATTGTTTCTTGTTATTCATGTATGTCTGTCTAATTCTCTCTACATTCCCTGTAGTTTCCTTTGTGAAACTCTTTTCTTACATATGTTTTTATAATTATTTTATCTCTGTGTGTGCAACATGAGCCCCTTTCCCCTTAAATCTCAGAAGAAGGTCATCTTCCCCTAAACAGAATTATATCTGTGGTAAGTGATTATTGAAACATACAGGCTAACTTTAAATATTTAAGTACTTTGGTATGAAAAAAAATTAATGTTTTCCAAACTTTGAAGGTACACTTAGCTAAAACACTGACATTCAGAACTTTATATTTGCTCCACCATGTGACATTCGATTGTCTTTTAAGAAAAAATTGACAGCCTTTTATATATTTTTCTAATGATATTTTATTTATCAATTAAATAATTTTTATTGTTTTGTTGAAGAGTTTCTTGTACATCTGGACCTTATGCTATGTACATCATTAAAAATATTAGATTTCACAAATCACAGAATGTAGAATTGATAATGCCCAAAGGAGAAGACTATTAAGGACATAAATTTTCAAACATTCGTTTTAAGCAAATTACTCCTTTACTACATTATTTTAAGGAAGAAAAAAACACAAACATTTTTTCTTAACTTTATCATGATCATTATTACTTCCTCCCACATCTAAAGTCTTCGTTATCTGTATATTCTTTAGCTTTTATGGTTCTTGTATTTCTGAACACTTCTATAGAAGGAGTTGGTGTAGTAAAATTTAATACATATTCCAGCTGTACTTCAAACCCATCTCACTTTTAAAGCCTTGACATCTCTTCTCCTGGAAAGTTGCTGACTGCCAGTCTACTGGGAACTCTAAACAGTTGTTGGACCTTCCACCATTCCCAACATTACCACTCCATGGGTGTCTTCTGCAAATAGTTTGGTCCACAGTTCTAATGTCTTTGTCTTTCATTGGTTGATGATCTAATTTGTCCCATGTGTAGGAGTATATGGTTGTCACTTCAAATTGTGCCCTCTTTTCATTACCAAACGCAAAGACTTGTGCTGTGGATGGAATTGTGTCCCGCAAAATTCAAAGACTGAAACCCTAACCCTCAATGTGACTGTATTTGGAGATAGACTTTTAGGAGGTGATTAAGGTTAAATGAAGTCTTAAGAGTGGGGTCTTAATCTGATAGAATTGATGGCCTTATAAGAAGGGAAGAAACAGAGATCGTCTGTGTGTGCACACACACTGAGGAAAGGTCCTGTGAGCACATAGCAAGAAGGTAGCCGTTTACAAGCCAGGGAGGGCAGTCTCACCAGGAACCGACAGGCTTGCACCTTGATCTGGGACTTCAGCCTCCAGAAGTGTGAGAAATTCACACTTTCTGTTGTTTAAGTCTGTGGTTCTAAGTTCTATGGTATTTTGCTGTGGCAGCCGGAGCAGACTAAGATAGTTTATATCCTGAAACAAGTGTGATAAATCTACCATCCTAGCTAACCTCTGTTCCTAACATCTAAACCCACTCTATTTTACCCCTAGGTCCTGAGAACACTCTATCAGTCCTACTTTAGCCACCAATCTGCATGGTGGACAGAGGATGATCTGATTTCCATAGAGACAAAAACACAGCAGACAAAGAATACAGCTCCAAACACAGCTAGAAATACAGGGCAAGAGATTCAGCTCAGGTCCACCCATCAGAGCGCGCCGTATCAAACACCCAGGTCTGCAGTCCACCAGCTTCCAATAATGCCATCTGACTGGAGTGATGATTTCATCAGGCACTTTGATAAGCCGATGTATCTTTTCTCACAGTTTACAGGCAATTTTTGTCCACTTCCAGCAATTCTGAAAACTGTAGATATTTGCCTATCTGCCCAGTGGGCACAAGTAACTGGTAACAGTCTCACAAAATTCCTGTGTACTTAGTAGCAGGTGGTTGATATCACAGGAAGATCTTCTCTTTATCAGGCACTTACCAGGCCTAAAGTCTGTTCTTCCAGGAAATTACACACCCTCTCATTTTACAGTGAATAACATTAACATACATACATTTAGGAGCCATCGTACATAAAATAGAAGCCAAAATACATGTGGCTTAATCTGAATCCTTTCATAGTGTTTTATGTATTTTAAATCACAGTAAATTTCTTTTTCATGCTTCACAGAGATGTAAAAATAGATTTTAGTGTTCACTTTTTTTTTTTCTATTTAAAACCGTAAAAAAACACTGTGGATGATTTGGGAACTGTTTCCATTTTCCTTTCCTTAAATCTTCTTAAAACACTAATATAAACATACAATTTATCACCAATTTCACATAAAAACATGTAAAAGTATTAATTATTTTCAAGAATCACAAACTGAGATCTATATATATAACATAGTCAATTTCTTTTTATTGGTCCTGTGTACTCACTGAGTCATTTATACCTAATCTTGATGTTAAAATTAAAGGATGTTCGTAACGTAGATGAACTACAATTATATTATCACCCTTGGATGATGTAATTATAGTAGCTTAGTAGTTTTTAAGCTTATTTCAATATTATGAGATACTAAACGCGTCAGCTCATAAATTATTCAAAAAATTATAGAATTGCATATCTATTGAAAGTTCAACAAAATAACAAAAAAGGAAGATCTACCTACTTTATCCAATATATACTGCAATAAAGGACTCTTTTTAAATTTCTTCTGTGATTGTCTTAACATAAGTAGTAATGATTTTTTACATACAAGGGTATAATATTCAGAGTAGTAGGATTCATTTTGCTTCATTTTCAAAAGATGTATTATTATTATTATTTAAAGGACTTTATGTTTTTTAGAGTAGTTTTAGGTTCACAGCAAAATTGAAAGGAACGTACAGAGATTTCCCATATACCCCTGCCTCCACACATGCACAGCCTCGCCATTAACAACATCCCCCACCAAAGTGGTGCATTAGTCATAATTGAGGAACCTATATTGGCACATTATAATCACTCAAAGCCCATAGTTTACATCAGAGTTCACTTGGTGTTGTACCTTCAGTGGTTCAGACAAATGACATGCTTCCATCATTAAGGTATCGCACAAAGTATTTCCAATGCTCTAAAAAATCCCCTTTGCTCTGCCTATTCATCCCTCGCTGCCAACCCCTGGCAACCACTGATCTTTGTATTGTCTCCATAGTTTGACCTTTCCTAGAATGTCATATAGTTGGAATCAAACCGTCAGTAGCTTTCCAGATTGGTCTCTTTCACTTAGTAATATGCATTTAAGATTCCTCCATGTCTTCTCACAGCTTGATAGCTCATTTCTTTCTGGTGCTGAATAATATCCCATGGTCTGGATCACAGTTTATTTCTGCATTCACTTACCAAAGGGCATCTTGCTTGCTTCCAAGTTTTGACAATTATGAATAAAGCTACTGTAAATATCTATATGCAGGTTTTTGTGTGGACATAAGTTTTCAGTTCCTTTAGGTAAATACCAAGGAGCACAATTACCGGATTGTATGCTAAGAGTATGTTTAGTTTTGTAAGAAACCGCCAAACCGTCTTCCAAAGTGGCTGCACCAGTTTGCATTCCCACCAGCAATGAAGGAGAGTTTCTGTTGCTCCACATCCTAGCCAGCATTTGCTGTTGACAGCGTTCCAGATTTTGGCTATTCTAATAGGTATGTAGTGATATCTCATGATTGTTTTAATTTACATTTATCTTATGCCATATGATGTGGAGCAACTTTTCATATGCTCACTTGCTATCTGTATATTTTTTTTGGTGCTTTGTCTGTTAAAGTCTTCGGCCTATTTTTTTTTTTTTTAAGGAAGATTAGCCCTGAGCTAACATCTGCCAATCCTCCTCTTTTTGCTGAGCAAGACTGGCCCTGAGCTACCATCCATGCCCATCTTCCTCTACTTTATACATGGGACGCCTACCACAGCATGGCTTTGGCCAAGCGGTGCCATGTCTGCAACCTGGATCCGAACTGGCTAACCCCAGGCCACCGGGAAGTGGAACATGTGAACTTAACCACTGCGCCACCAGGCCGGCACCTGGCTCACTTTTTAAAACAGGTTGTTTTGTTTTCTTATTGTTGATTTTTAAGCATTCTTTGTATATTTTAGGTAACAATCCTTTATCAGATGTGTCTTCTGCAAATATTTTCTCCCGGTCTGTGGCTTATCTTCTAATTCTAGACATTGTCTTTCATAGGTCAGAATTCTTTCATTTTAAAGAAATCTAGTTTATCCATTATTTCTTTCATTGATCATGCCTTTGGTGTTGTATCTAAAAAGTCATCACTACACCCAAGATCACCTGGATTTCTTCTATGTTATCTTCTAGGACTTTTATAGTTTTGTATTTTACATGTAGGTCTATGACCCTTTTTGAGTTAATTTTTGTGAAGGGTGTAAGGTCTGTGTCTAGATCCATTTTTTGCATGTGGATGTCCAGTTGTTGCAGCACCATTTGCTGAAGAGACTATGTTGCTCCGTTGTGAGTCTTATTATTTTTCAAATTAAATTTTACTTTTTTACCAGATTAAAAGAATGTAAATAGCTAAACTATCAAAGAATACTAAGAGGCCTATAAATTGAAAATTCTCTTTTATACCGCAAACTTTAATTTTTGAATTCTTCCTATTGGAAAATATTTTCATTGTTTCCAGTTATATGCTAGTGTTTGTCTCCATGTGTATAGATATTTATTTATACCCTATTGTTACTTGGTATTTTAAATTAAGCTATCATCTCTTGATATCCTACAGAGTAATTGAAAATTTTACTCTCAACCAAGCTTTCTCCCAGTTTTCTCTCACCATCTCTCCAATATGCAATGCCATGATTTTTCAGAGTGAATAATTATCAATATTTGTGTTATTGTAACTACATCAATGTTTTTAACTTCTGAATCAAGTAGTGTTTCTTTTCTCATACAATTTCTTCAAATTTACAGTTAATAGGTATCTCATTTATTGTTTACTTAGTTTGCAAAAAAAGGTAGCCACTTTCTCAAATATTTCAAACACATATCAATATATTTTCCAAAATTCTAAACAAATGAAATAAATTACAAGTTTCTAGTTTTTCTGAGAAGTATTTTTCTCCCATCTCTCTAGCCTCCCTCTCCAATCTCAATGCTCTTTCATAGTCCGCCCCAAAGCTGTTGTCTGGGGATTTTCTTTTCTTCTTTCCTAGTTCCATTTTCAAATTTTATGAGTCCCATGTCTTATGATTTCTCAGATTATTCTTGCTTTCCACGTATTGTTTAAGCTAATTCTCCAACAGCATCCTAGGAATGATTCAAGAAAGGTAAAGTTCTGATTCCTTCCATATTGCGCTTTTCTGTCTTCAAGCATCTTTAGAGCTCCTACTGAGCAATTTGATGCTCTTCGGATTTCTATTTTTTGGTAAGTAATGTGTGCTTTCTTGCACTTTTAAGATTGTTTTTTGCTATCACTTATGTTCTGATATTTTATTAGGATATACTTTTTTAAAGTTATGATGAGTACTAGAATGACACTTTAGAGACGTTAAGTCTAATAACACTAGAGAATTTAGAGACTCATTTCATATTTGTGGAAAATTTTCTTCCATGGTTTATTTTTATAATTCCTCATCTTGCATTTTTTACTTGTATTAATTTCCCTTTCTCACATTCTTTCTCAGATGTTGTATCTTCTGATCATATTTACTAATTTTCTATCTTTTCTCTCATTTTCCATCTCTGTCATTCAATGAGAGTTTCCAAATCATTTAATTCTTCAAATAATTTTGCTTTAATTTGAAACAGCATGTTTGAATATCTAAGAACTTTTTGTTCTACATTTATTTTTCATTTTACATTGGATCCTATACTTGATTTTTAAATATATCTTCTCTTAATGATCTTAAAATATTAATCTTTTTCTTAAGTTTTATTCTGCTCTCTGTCCTATGTTCCTATTATTATTATTATTTTGATATGTATGTTTCCTGATGGAATCTTTTATTAAGTATCTGTATATCCTTGGTTGTTCATTTATATTTAAGAATTAGCCATTCAAAATCATGAAGAAAGTTCAATATATGTTTTTATAAATAGATTAGGCCTTGTGAGAAGTGGGACCACTCATCAGGAGGTACATATACTGAGTATTTTGGGATCTGCTTTGCCTGTCTTCTCTTTCAAATATATTACCCCTGATCCTGTTACTTCTCTCATTATTTCATTTCATTATTCTGGTTACTTTACTGATCTTTCTTTAATGCTCCTACTAAATTTCCAGCTGAACATTTCTCCTTTGAGTAGAAAAAACAATAGGAGAGGAGGTGAGAGGGTAGCAGGTTCAGATTATACAGAGATTTTAGGCCATTATTAGAAATTTGGCTTTTACTCTCAGTGAAATGGAGAGGATTACAGGATTTTTAATGGAGTAGTGACATGATCTAAATACATTTTTTAAAAGAACATGATGGCAAAATTTCTATGAATCGATTTTGGGTAGAAGAGATGGAAGAGGAAAGAAGGAGGGAGCCAAGTTAGTGGCTACCAAGATAAACCTTGTAAGAGTCCGTGTGTTCACTGAAAATGTACTAAAGGCTTGTTGGAGTCTAGATTCTGTGTTCATAGCTATATATGTAGGGGTATATTATGTTTTTTGCTTAAATTATACAAAAAGATAGATATTTTAGGTTGCCAAGAGGCATTAACATCACTCAAAAGGTTTTCCTGCTGACTATTCAAAATAATATTACATCAGTTTCAATTTCAATTATTGAGAAAATCTTTCAGGCTCACCCATAACTCCTTTAGAGAGCCTTTTGTCTGACTGAACAGTGCTTGCAGGCAACACTTTCGATATTTCTGAGGTATTAAAAGATTTTCTAGTCAAACTCTCCACTTCATCTTTAGAGCACTCACTTTTTGTGAGTGCCCTAGATATGACATTTGATTGGAAACCATTTCTTCATTTTAGCATTGTTTGTCATTTGGAGAGACTGAGAATCTTCAAAACCAGCAAGTCTTAGGTCCTTTTAGTTTAGCAGTCATTCCTTTAGCTTATCGCTGTCCTTTTATATTTTACTATATTTTATAAGCAGCAAGAAGAAAAAAAAGGCAGACTTTCAACACTCTGTTTGGATATCTTGGCTAGATTGCCTAATCTGTTAGGTACATTTTC